GAGTATCAAGGATATACTAGAACGTATAACTAGAGAATTTTATTTTCATATGAATTATACTATTTTATTATGTATTTGATAACAGGTGGTTTAATGAAAATATATTGAGGAATTGGAACTGTTTTATCTCCTGTAATTTTATTTTAAAATAACTATATATATTAAAAAACAAACAAATTAGTTAATATGAAGCAATTAGAATGAGCAAGCCAGTAAAAAGCGTGTAAAGGGACAGATAAGGCTATGGCAGTGCTTTCTAAACAGGAATGAAAAATGTCAAGGCAAGGACAAAAAACCTCGAAGTACCAATTTCCAGAAAAGAAAACCATAAAAACTAGTGGTTTCCCACATTTTGGTAATCATTGTTTAGAAGACTTAAAAAAAAAAACCCACCCACAACAGAAAGAAAAACATAAATGCTTTGGAAAACCGAGACAAGAAATGCTGAGTTCTTAAATAAACAAGAAAATTTTATTGTAAGAAATGAAAGGGTTCAACACACGAAAAAATGTTATGGTTGTAGAAGAGAAAATAGAAAAGTATATTTTAATTGTATCCAAAGTAAATATAAAAAACAATCCCTGTGAAAATCCCAATGTATTATTTTAAATATGTTTTCATTGCTTTTTAGAGAGAGAGGAAGGAGAGGGAGAGAAACATCGACTGGTTGCCTCTCGCATGCACCCCTACCAGGGATCAAGCCTGCAACCTGAGTATGTGCCTTGATGGATAATCGAACCTACGACCTTTCGGTCCACAGGACAATGCTCAACCAACTGAGCCACACTGGCCAGGGCTAACTCTCTATGTATTTTAAAAGTTGAGAACATTATTCAAAAGTTCATCTCAATATGCAAAATAATGCTGTCCAGTCAAGATGGCAGCACAGGCAAGTGCATGCTCACATCCTCCCACCACCTCCTCAAAGGTACAGCTAGACTACAGAACAACCATGCTGCAGAATTGCCTGAGGCCCAGCGAGCAGAAGTCCTATAGCTGAGGATGTGGATGGAGAGGCAGCCACTTCGAGGCTGATGCAAGCAGGCTGGTCCCACACCCACGTGTGGGGGATAAAAATCAGGAGGGATGTCTCGGCCGAGGAGGTCCCCCCCTGGAGAGCCAAGGGCTCCGGCCCCACACCAGGCCCCCCAGCCCAGGGTTCAAGTGCTGGGAAGAGAAGGTCCTATAACTTCTGGCTGTGGAAATCAGCAGGGATTGTGACTGAGTGAGATGCGGGAGTGGGGGGGTGGGGGAGGTCTTCTGGAGTCTCAGGCAGTTCCTCTTAAAGGGCCTGCCCAGGGACTTACTCGGACCTGCTCCCTCTGAGTCCTATGAGGATTAAAAAGATGAGTAAGACGTTGACCTTGATTTCATGTAGCTTGCACTTGATTTGGAATGTAAATACATAAGAATCAATATGTTAGGGCCGTGGTCGGCAAACTTCGGCTCGAGAGCCACATGCGGCTCTTTGGCCCCTTGAGTGTGGCTCTTCCTAAGCCTTAGGAGTACCCTAATTAAGTTAATAACAATGTACCTACCTATATAGTTTAAGTTTAAAAAATTTGGCTCTCAAAAGAAATTTCAATCGTTGTACTGTTGATATTTGGCTCTGTTGACTAATGAGTTTGCCGACCACTGTGTTAGGGGAAAAAAACAAGATATTTTAAAACACTTTAAGCACAGATGGTATACTATTAAGACATTTCTATGATAAATGATCAAAGTCAGACACATAAGGCACCTGACTTTTAATATAATGACACGCTTATGAGCCTGCGAGAATGTTTTCAGTAAAATGTGTCCCAAGGAACTGACAGTAATAACTAATTAACTAATTAACAAATCCAATAGGGCACATTCATAGTATCCATCTGTATGTGGGACGATGTGTATGAACAAGGAGGTTTTAATTTTAGGTTAATTTTTCTGTAGGCAGTTTCCGTGACTATTTAAATCCACCGAGAGAGACAAAAAATACATTATTAACACAGAGGGGATGCATACTTCGTTTGCTTTGTAAGAAATGCCTCTGATTCACTGATAAGTTCTCACTTTATCTAAACATACATGTAAACAGCAGATTCCATTAGAAACTATTTTGTGCTATCATAGTGACCGTGCATCCTGGGATGGCTTTTTACTCTTTCGCGTTTGGGGGGAAACATTGAGGCTCGATTCTACACTGGTATTTTCCTTTGGCCCACACAGAGCTACTGAAGAAAGATGGCGCTTTGCAGAACTGTTTTCATCATAAGAGCAACAATACAGCAAAAATCAATAGTCGTACAGACATGCCTAACACATGGCAACTCTTCATGCTGGAAAACGGTGTGCAGATCCCGACTGAACTATCTGTTAGCAAGAAAACGCAGGGCGCTGTGGCCCAGAATCTGCAATATCTCTCATTAGACAACTAGGAGCTCATTTCTCAGTCTTATTAACTGGGCCTTCTTACGCAAGACTCCCTGGTGCACCATGAATGACTGCGTGGGTGCCACAGTAAACAAATGTACAGAATGTTCACGTGCATGGTTTGGTGATTTTGGTGGGATTTAGAGCAGCATGCGTGTCAGGCTGGGGAAAGTACTCAGACTTGATTAGAGGTCAACTAATGGGAAACGGATTTCCGTGTAAGCAACCGCTGCAGTGTCAGACTTGACCTTTAGAAGGTGACGACAAGCTTAGAGACGTGACAGACAGGCGGGGTGGGTGGGGAGGGTGAAATGGGTGGAGTCTAAAGGTACAAACTCCAGGCAAAGGAAACAAGTGCTGGGACGTGACAGACAGCATGGTGACCTTCGTTCAGTGATTTTCAACCTTTCCCAGCCAGCTCATGGCTCATGAGCTTAGTATTGAAAGTCTGCGGCACACCAAGAAATCTGTTTCTTGCCGATCTGACAAAATAAATCGGAATAATTGTAATGTATTCACAATGGACAGATATTGTTGTGCTGGCTGTTGTCACTTTTTTTAAAAAAGAGAGATCCTCTATCTATCTATCTATCTATCTATCTATCTATCTATCTATGTATCTTGTATCTTGGTCAATCCTCACCCGAGGATATTTTTCCATTCATTTTTAGAGAGAGTGGAAGGGAGAGGAAGAGACATCGATGTGGGAGAGACACATCGATTGGTTGACTCCTACACACACCCTGACCAGGGCCAGGGAACCTGCAACCGAGGTACATACCCTTGATCAGAATCGAACCCCGGACCCTTTAGCTCATGGGCCAATGCTCTATCCACTGAGCCAAACCGACTAGGGCTGTTGTCACTTTTTATCTGGTAATCTAAGGAAAAAGAGGACAGTGCCCCTGGCTAAATGGTATTGCATGTTCTAAAAATTCTTGTGGCACACCGTTTGAAAATCGCTACTGCAGTTAATAACACTGTGTTGCATATTTGAAAGTTGCTAAGAGAGATCTTAACACTCTCATTACAAGAAAAAATTTTATAACTATGTTTGGTGACAGATGTTAACTAGACTTATTGCGGTGATCATTTTACAGTACATGCAAATATCAAATCATTATGTTGGACACCTGAAACTCATATAATGTTGCAGGTCAAAAATACCTCAGGAAAAAATAGACAGACTGAGAACATCATAAGAAGGATATTTGGTAATTTATTTTCAAATAAACAAATATATATATGTGTGTGTATATATATATATATACACACACACATATATATTCACTATATGCAAAATGCTACTCTAGATATTTGAGCATAAGGAAGAGAAAGAATGATTTGAATAACATCCCTATTTGTAAGGAGCTTAAAATGGAATTAAAAATAAAGCATAAAGGCTCAAAAGTCTAGTTAAAGCACAAAAGTCATAGAACCAAAATAGTATGAAGGATAAGTTGATATATTACATGATTAAGTAGGCAATTAAGTGTCTAGACCGCAGCTTATTAAACCTGGCAGCGCCAATGAAATTATAGAGAGAGGTTTTAAAAAGTAAATGCTTGAGCTCTACGCCAGACCTCCTGAATGAAACTTCTGGGCAGCGCGTGGAAGACTAGGGGGTACAACTTCAGAGAAGGGAGGGGCGTTGGGGGCGTCAATGAGACCTGGCACCTTGTACTTCATAAAGCTCCCAGATGATCCTGATGAACACAGGCTGGCACCCCAAGTAGAGAAGGACTTGAGGGTCCCTGCTGTGGGTCAGGATGGCACCCCGGGGCAGACCTATTTCTACCAGTGAATGTGGCGTGTAAACCCAAAGGGCTTGGAGTTCTGGCAGACTGTCCGCCTTAACTCCCACTTTTTCCATCTCGCCATGGACACTGGGAAAATCTAGTCTCGCTCCTGAGAGGGAGCGTACACAGGGAGGGTGCACCGCTCATGGAGGGGCGGATGGCATTGAGTTCCAAAGGCAAGGTCTGCCCAACGCAGAAGAAGAGAAAAATCCTGCCAGGGAAAAGGAGCAGCATGTTTTCAGGAAAGTATAACCGGGCTTGAAGCCGGAGGCGTGGAAGGCCTGTTGAGAAGAAAGGGTTCCTGCAGGGGAATGCGGGACTGTAGACGGTATCGGGTTCCCTCCTCGGGTTCCCTCCTCGGTTTGGCTGTGTTTTTATTATGGAAAAATTCGAATACCAAGTCTAGGGTTTTATGAATCTCAATTCAACAAGCTCTATGTTGTTTTTGTTTTCTCAAGCTACTCAAAAAGGTTCGTGTCTTGTTATTTTCATTATAATCTGCACATCTAGGGGGCATTCTTGGCTGTGAATTTTTGTGGGTGTTTTTCTTTTCATATTCTTTAAAGAAGGTTCTGGGTTCTTTAGTCAATTTTATTCCATCCTTGTACTTAACAGAGAAAAGCCAGGACTACAGTGACCTGGCGTTGATGACATAAAGTGTTCGTGACCAGATGCCTCTGGACAGCATGCCAGAGAGAAAGAGTAACTTTCCAAGACAATGACCATGGTTCCTGAAGATTTAAAGCTGGGGCGGACGCACCCTGCACCAAACGCCAACACTATGGTTACCTGAGTGAGTGGTTCCTGGTGAGATCAGGCTGACGTTCCTGCAGAATTTCAAAGATATTGGGTTGGCGCAGAAATGCAACGATCTTGTCATTATAAGCTGAAAATCAGAAAACAGGACAACATTTACAAACAACCTGCTATTCGTTTTGTGCATACGAATCCAAACTTTTTAAAAATCTGTTTTCTGGGTTAATATTCCTGGCACTCAAGCCACCACCAACACTTAAATTCCACACTGTGTCTACGCTGTTATGAACATTGGACTTAGATCTATCCGGTGTGACTTTCTTTACCATTCATTACTCATTTGATGAGTCATATTTGTCATCAACTAGCAAGGTGAGATCACCAGGATTCTATCTATTGATCATTTCAAGCCACTGCTTATCAAAATCAACTTCATAAGTAACTTTTAGAAATAGATAACTATCTTCTGATTACATATCAGCCATGCAGTGAGGTGAAGAGGCAGAACAAGTCCCCAAAATCAACATTCGCCAGCAACCGCTACTACCAAAATGCAGAGAACAAGCCATTCCCAAATTCTATGTGGGAATAGATGCCATCAAGCCACACATAGCTCTTTACCAAACCAACTATATCAACACCTACAACACAATCAGCAACACCAACTATCCGTTAAAAGAAAAATTTATCTTAGCCAAGGTTGCCTAATGTCCATAGAAATTTAAAAATAGTTACTTAAAATTTATTAAGGGCTTTTGTCATACCTTTTTTTTATCAAGAAAACTAGTATTTTTACTTAGGATGATTCATCTTGATTACATTTATTTATAATCGGAAATATAGGTATATTTAAATCACATAACTGAGTGAATGCTCAAATATCAGAAACCCTTAACAACTTATTTTTCTTTAACTTCAAGAATCTAATGCAATAGCTCTACTCAGAAAAGGCAGAGCGTGACATTAAAAAATCTCCTCCTAGAGCCGCGGTCGGCAAACCGTGGCTCGTGAGCCACATGCGGCTCTTTGGCCCCTTGAGTGTGGCTCTTCCACAAAATACCACGTGCGGGCGCGCATGTACAGTGCGATTGAAACTTCGTGGCCCATGCACAGAAGTCGGTATTTTGTGGAAGAGCCACACTGAAGGGGGCAAAGAGCCGCACGTGGCTCGAGAGCCGCAGTTTGCCGACCACTGTCCTAGAGGATTGTACAAGACCGAAGTGCTTTGGGATTCAGATCAATTTCTTGGGGATGACGCAGAGTTTCTGAGTCCAGGGCAAGAGCAGCGGGCGGACAAGGGGGCGGTGCTAGCACGGCATGCATGAGACAGGCTGGCGCAAGAAGCCGGGGTGGAGGTTTCGGGAGGGGGTGCCATACCCACTGGAACCATGTCCTGGTACTGCGGCCTGCTGACGGTGTTGAACGTGCTGGACGGCCTGGGAAGGACGGGTGGCCCCGCGTGTCGCGAATCCTCTCCTACCTGCAGACACAAGCATCCCTTAGGCTCTGCACCGAGACCTCACGTGCTGGCTATCAGCACCTGAGCCACGTTTTTCTTTTTGCTCTTTTTCTGGTTAATCCTCGCCCGAGGATATTTTTCCATTATTTTTAGGGAGAGTAGGAGAGGGAAAGACAGAAAGAAATATTAATGTGAGAGAACATACTGATTGGTTGACTCCTATACATGCCCTGACGAGGGCCCGGGCTAGGGGAGGAGCCTACAACCAAGGTACGTGCCCTTGACAGGAATCGAACCCAGGACCCTTTGGTCCGCAGGCCAATGCTCTATCTACTGAGCCAAACCGGCTAGGGCGATGAGCATTGGTAGATACCAACTGATCAGAAGAGATGCCAGCAGGGGAGCTGGCTCGAGATTCCCAAAAGCTCTGCTTTAGTTGCTGAACTGAGTGGAGGGGCAGGACATCCGGGTCCTTGAGAGGGGCAGGGGCAGTGACTGCTCACTGTATGGCACAGGGGTAGCTCCACACGCTCACGATGATGGGGCTGCAGGAACTAAACAGCACACCTGCTCAGCAGGGGTGACTTCCGCCCGACAGAACCCAAACCTGCCACAGGACATGCGGAGAAAGACCCGTGTGGGACAAACACATCACACCGCAGCAGAGACAGAGGGCACCTGCCTTCCCTGGTGGGTCAGGGGATCCTGCCTCCCAGAGGAGGGGCCTGGGGCAGCCGCCTCCATGTGGGCTTCTGAGCCGGTGCATTATCTGCTCAGGAGCAATTCTGCTTGCCTATTAGAGTGCCCGGCCCAGCAGCTCTTTCTGGTTTGAACCTGCCACCCAGGGAGCTAATCATAGCAGGTGTGGAGGAGCCAAATGGGGCTGCCCTGACCTGAATTGGTTATGGGGCCTATTATAGATTCACACACTCATTCATACCAGCAGACAAACAAAAAATATTCTGAAGAGGAAACGCCAACACTGCTCTTGCTCCATGTTAGCGTCCCCCACCCCGATATCACAGGAGCCTTTTAAGACGACAGTGAAACAGTAGCGTTAAGAGAACGAAAGGCAAAATAACACGCTGGATTTATACATCGGCACTTTTCAAACAGAGCTTCTCCTCTCAGCCGTTCAAATCTGCACAAGCCTTTTACCATTGGGCATCAGTGTGGGGTTTTTCTCAAGGCCCTGAAACTGGCAATGTCTCCCCACCCTGCACGGCTTGCTCATCCCCCGGGGATTTTCCCACGGTCAGTGTGGAGCAGATGGCCCTCCTGAAAGCATTTCTCACTCGTGCTTGTTCATCTGTATTAGGCTTAGTTTCATCTGCTCTCTCCTTGATGAGAACACAGGACAGGAACATATGTTATGGATGTGTATCACTGAAACAAGCACCATGCAGCCACTGCAGGTGTGGGTCAGTATCACCGGTGGATGGAAGAGATGCCGCCATCCCCCCACCTGTGTGTTTGCTAATGGAGCAGAGGAGCGGGGCTGGGAAGCCTGTCCGTCCGTGTGACTGAACGGTTCTCACTCTGCCTCTCAGGAGCTGCTGGTCCACGTGTAGCATGAATCCCCGTGACTCTGCGGTCTGGGCGGATTCCAGGGTGAACTGCATCTCGTGTGTCAGTCACGGAGTTAGCGCTGCCGTCACCCACAGACACGTTTCCTCCTGTCCGGATGCTGCTGCTGCCACTTCCCAGGACAGCGGAGGTCCCCTCCACACCCCACCCCTCCTTCCTGCCTGGTGGCCAGCCCATGGGCGGTCCTGAGAGCTGAGCCTGTCGCTGCCTCAAGTGCACCTTCGGTCGCGGTGCCAGGACACGTGTCCCCCTCAAAAAGGCTGAACAAGGCGGGCCCCAACGCTCCGTCTTTATGGGGTACCTCTCCCCACTGCTCAGTGTCCATCAAGGCAAAGAGCAATGGTCACTCAAATGTTAACGGGCACCTTAGGGCCCCTCTCCCACAACGGGCTACTTCTAGATCATGGAACTAGTCTAGATCCGTGGTCGGCAAACCACGGCTTGCGAGCCACATGCGGCTCTTTGGCCCTTTGAGTGTGGCCGTGAAGTTTCAATTGCACTGTACGTGCGCGCCTGCGTGTGGTATTTTGTGGAAGAGCCACACTCAAGGGGCCGCAGTTTGCCGACCACTGGTCTAGATCATGGAAAGAAAATGTGAGTCCAGCTATTCATCTCACGTGCGCAGCCCTGAGCAGCGAGCAGTCAGCTCCGTGTGGTGAAGTCGAGATAAGACGGTGGCTCAAGTGCACTGGCCACGGGAGCGAGGCAGGCAGCGCCCTAACTGCTCCACGCCGTGCACGGGTCCAAAGGTGAGTGTTCTGCCTGTCAGATGAACGCTGTGTGCATCGCCCACTGCACCACAAAGGCTTATGGGAGAGCAAGGTAAAGATTTATTAGCTGCTCATAAAGCACACATATTTCTGTGGCTGCCTCATCTGCAGTAGATCATGTTTATATGAGCGTCTCCCGTACACTCCTCTGTGTCTGCACTTACAGCCAGCACACACGCCGGACGCATGAGAGCCAGTGTGAGAGGATGAGGGGGAATTCCAGAGTGGAATTTTGATGTCTCAAGTCCAGTCACTCACAGCACTCATAGTTGTTTCTTATAATAGAAGCTACAGAGGTACATTGCTCGCAATCCAGTACTGAAAATAGGGTATGCACATCGGTGTGGAAGAGGCGTGCAGGAAAACAACCTCAATTAAATCTGTCGAAGGGAATTATTAGAAACAATGCATATGAAGTGAGGATATGTATCCAAAGCAGACGTCCATTCGTAGGAGAAGAAATGTGACCTCCAGCATTCCTTTTCTTTACTTAAGCCTCTACAGAAAAGGAGAAGCAGGAAGGGGTGACTTCTGGTTTTGTTAGGCTATTCGAGAGCCCTCGTGTGGTCGCCAATGGTCCCTGCAAACTAGTCAAGTAGAGCCCAATAGAAATTTCAGTAATTCTTATTCCACCCATTTTCTCTGGGCACTTACAGTTCATAAATCAACTCTCGGATACACTCAATCTTAAAGAATATTAGTGAGTGAGAATGCCACAACCCCATAGCCTTGGCCAGAGGTCTTCACGGAATCCACCAAGCCTCACTTAAGAAACTCCCTTACAATTTACCCAAAGTGAGCCCACTACAAGTCACATTCCTTCCTTCCTGTGAAGCTGCCCTTAGGTGGGCAAAAGGGCTCATCATCCCCACTTTTTAATAAATATATATTTTATTGATTTCAGAGAGGAAGGGAGAGGGAGAGAGAAATGGAAACATCCATGATTAGAGAGAGAATCATGGATTGGCTGCCTCCTGCACACCCAACACTGGAGATTGAGCCTGCAACCAGGGCATGTGCCTGGGCTGGGAATCAAACCGTGACCTCCTGGTTCACAGGTCAACGTTCAACCACTGAGCCACACCAGTCAGGCTCATCATCCCCTCTTACGTATTTTATCACATTATGAATTCTCTCTCTCACTGGCCTCTGAATGTAAGAAAACCTCTCGTTTCTTTCCTCTCCCCTCCTATAAGCTGCTTCTTATATTGGGCACGTGGGCTCCATGCGTCTCCAAAGAAGCCCTGTCAACATCTCAGCACTCCCCAGCCTCCACATGAGCATCTCTAAGTCAAACCAGGAAAGCGAGACAGGGAGGGGGAGCCACACGTCACCCCCTGGAGCACCCAGCAGCCCCAGTCGGGGGTCCCAGGGTCAGCAATCCCGGTTGGGGGGTCCCAGGGTCAGCAGCCCGGTCGGGGGTCCTGGGGTCAGCAGCCTAGTTGGGGGTCCCAGGGTCAGCAGCCCTGTCGGGGGTCCCAGGGTCAGCAGCCCAGTCGGGGGTCCCAGGGTCAGCAATCCCGGTTGGGGGGTCCCAGGGTCAGCAGCCTAGTTGGGGGTCCCGGGGTCAGCAGCCCTGTCAGGGGTCCCAGGGTCAGCAGCCCTGTCGGGGGTCCCAGGGTCAGCAGCCCGGTCGGGGGTCCCAGGGTCAGCAGCCTAGTTGGGGGTCCCAGTCGGGGGTCCCGGGGTCAGCAGCCTAGTTGGGGGTCCCCGGGCGTGACTCACCTCGCCCGCGCTGTGGCTGCGCTGCCGGGTCAGGTGCTGCCGGTGCACCAGCGCGCTCGTGGGCCGGCCGCTCTGCAGGGGGAGCCGGGGGTCGATGAACGTGGTGGTCCGGGAGTTGTGGTCGACAAAGAACGCCTGGGAGACAAGCCACGCAGTGGTCAGTGCACGCCACACACTTCTCAGCTGAGCTGCCACTTCTCACTTGTGAGTAATGGTCTTAGCTCCATTTTCTCCTAATTTGGGGAGAATTTCTCCTTAACCCCCCACCCCCCCACCCCCTGAAAAGACCAAAACAGAGAAAGACATGTTTCCATTGGATCTGGAATGAGGAGAGCAGGAAGGCACTTTATTCCTGGTTTTAGGAAATACTCCAGGCGATAGTCATCAAAGATAGGATCTGAGAAAGAAGTCACATGAGAGCACATTCGGGCTTCTCTTAACTGATGCTCTTTAAGCGCTTACTGCATCCAGGATTACTCCCAAAGTCTGCTCGCCTGAAACTCCCAACGCCATCGGCTGCCCCTCCTATGCAGTCAGCACCAGCCCCCCATTTCCCACGGCAGTGTCTCCTCTCTGTCCCGGCCCAGCCTGGCCACATCCCGTCACTTCAGGGCTTTCTCTTAGGCATGCAAGCATCGCCAGCTCCTCAGGGGACCCCCATCGCTGCCCTTCCTCATGGGACGGCACCTCAGGATCAGAATTATGCTTTCTGAGTACCTTGATTACATCCCCGCTCCAATCCTGAGCCCTGCTGGCTACCCATTACCTATAGAGAAACATCCCACCCTCCGACCATGTTTCCAAGACTTTAAAATCTTCCTCCTGGCCCTAACTGGTTTGGCTCAGTGGATAGAGCATTGGCCTGCGGACTCAAGGGTCCCTGGTTTGATCCCGGTCAAACGGCATGTACCTTGGTTGCGGGCACATCCCCAGTAGGGAGTGTGCAAGAGGCAGCTGATCGATGTTTCTCTCTCATCGATGTTTCTAACTCTCTATCCCTCTCCCTTCCTCTCTGTAAAAAATCAATAAAATATATTTTTTAAAAATCTTCCTCCTCGTCTTCCGGTTTTGCCATCAATCCCGCATTCATACGAATGTTATCAGATACAGTGACTCTGGGCCAGCCGCTGAAGTTCTCTCTGTAGATTCCTTATATAAACATGTCCCCTTATTCATAATAAACATTTCTCCCCCATAATAAGTGGGAGGAAACCATGCCTACTGTGTTCACGGCAGAATCCCTGGTGACATGACGTCATGAATGAGCATAAGCCACTTCCCTCAGTGCTGAGGTAAGGGCTGCATACAGTGTAGGGAAGCCTTCTTTTTTACGCTTTTATTTGTTTGTTTAATTCTAAAGATCAACACCAAGTGCTACTTATCATTGTCTTTAGGAGCCAAGTGGTAGAAGTTTTCCAAGTGAAATTCACTCCAGGTAATAATGAAGCCCATGATCTCAAGGACAATTAGGAAACATAAGTTTCCCACGATCAGATAAAGCTAATCAGGTCATCCAAGATGAAAGGGACTGTGCGGAGAGCCCTGAGACTCTTTACTTGTTAACCGAGGGTCAGGGCACCTGAGACAGGCCAACAGCTTCAGCAGAAAACGGACGAGGGGGCTCGGTTACCGAAGCAGCTTCCACACTCAGAATGAAAACGCCCAGGCAGACCCTGGTGCCGACTGCGTTTATGCCTTTCCAGAAACAGCCCTTCCCACGATGGAGCACAGCGCTTCTGTACACACATGTGCTTCTATACACACGTGACCAGGAACGGGGGGCAACCACGGGCAGGGAGCTCCCAGATAGGAAAAAAGGACTTCTTTGTAAAGAAATAACTTCAAGGAGTAGACGCACTAGAGAACAAAGCTGAGAAATGGGCAAGATGAGAACCCTTGCCCGTCCCTCCGCTCGATAGCCGATGTCCAGGTGGCAAAGACTGGAATAAAGCAACGGAAGTCTTGTAGGAGACGGTGTCGCCAGCCTCGCATCCCTAGGCAAGGCTCTCTTCCTCCTCACCTGTCAGGGGAACGTCTTTCTTCCCTGGTCCTTGTGGAAAACACACACCGAGGGTAACCCTTAAACAGGCTTGTATCGGCAGGCTCGGTCAAAGGTCACCACCGGCCCCATCTGACTCGGATTTCTAATACAATACTCAATTATTTCTGCCACTATTCAAAATTTCATAAGATAGGAACTGAATTGTTTTTACAAGTGGACATTCAAAATAATCTATAATAATAAAAGCATAATATGCTAATTAGACCGGACGTCCTTCCGGACAACCATCTGGACGAAGCCAGGGCTGCGAGGGAAGCCCGGGTCCCAGGTGCCAGAGGGAAGCCGGTGCCGGCAGCCAGGGGAAGGAAGGCCTACTCTTGCACGAATTTCATGCATCGGGCCTCTAGTAGGTATTATAATTAACCCCATATCTACTTTATGTAAATTAAGATCCAGCTTCTATTACCAAAATCATTATATAAGTAGTGTTGCTTAAGGGGAAACTATAAGGAGTACTAAAATAGAATTGCCTGTTTACTCTACCTAATTTCTTGGGAATGTTTTGAAGGGGTGGGTGGCCGTTTGGAGGTAACCACGATACACCTGTAATTACCAGGACACCTGGGTGTGCACACCTAGGGCAGCTCTGATTCACATGCCGAGTCACAGTGTAATTGGATGTTCCGAGCCTCGTCTAAAACCCATCCTCTACAGAATCGCCCTGTCAATGCCTGGGGGGAAGGGCTCTTCCTTACTCACTCTGTGATCACCACTAGCTCTGAGGGTTCCTCTAAACTGCCCAAAACGCTAACATGCAGGCTCCTGACCCAAATACAGAAAGACAACTTACAATGAACTAATCAAGTATAGAAAGTCACGTTCTTTTACATAAGCATAGACATACTTAAGGATTTTGAAAAATAAATGAGTGTGTGTGTGTGTGTGTGTGTGTGTGTTGGGGGAAAAGGGTAAAGAGCTAAAGACTATAAAACCAGAAACAGGATAGCAGGTATCCCAGGGCCGACATGAATGAATGACCAAGCTAACACTTGAGAGGCAGAAGGCAGCGCAGTGATTCGATGCCTGGGATCTGGAAAAAGGCAAGTCTGGCTCTGAGCCCCGGCCCACCCCTTACCAGAGACATAACCTTGGGCAAAACGTAACTTTTTTTAAACCACAGTTTCTTTTCTGTGAAATGGGGATAACAACACCCACATCTAAGGAAGGTGAAGTCAGATGGTTCATATAAATTGCGGAAGACAGCGCCTGTGATCCTTTACATATGAGTTACTGTTACCATGACTAACAGTAACAGTTTTCACTTCTAGGACGTTTTTCCGAGGATGGCAGTGTGTCTGCCTATCGTCCACAGACAGGCTCGAAGGATGGAGAAGCCGTGAAGCTCCCCGTCCTGGGCTCCCTGTAGGCAGGCGTGGCCCACACTAAGGTTGGATGATGAGACACAAAGAGAGCATCACATGGTTATTCTGGGAACCCCCGCCCCTTATTCAAGGCAATTTTACAAGGTCAGGCCCTGCTTCTGCCCTTCATCCATCTGCTCCCCGAAACAAGGATGCCATTGCCAGAGCCCCAGCAGCCATGTGGAGCCATGAAAATGAAGAATGGCTCTCCCAACTCGAGGAACCACCTTGAAAGCCCTCAGTTTCCTCTCTCTGATCTTCTTTATGTGAGAGAATGAAATCTTGTGCATTAAACCTTGTATGGTTCTTGGCTACAAACCAAATCCTCTCTGTCCACGGAGGTCTCGGCGTGGTGGAGGACATGTGGTCTTCCTAAAACTGGAAGCACAGCCCGGCCGGCGTGGCTCCGTGGCTGAATGTCAACCTGTGAACCAGGAGGTCACGGTTCCATCACATGCCCAGGTTGCGGGCTCGATCTCCAGTGGGGGGCGTGCACGAGGCAGCTGATCCGTGATTCGCTCTCATCATTGATGTTTCTATCTCTCTCTCCCTCCCTCCCTCTGAAATCAATTAAAAAATACTTATTTTTTTTAGAAAAGAAGCGATTCCTGGGCAAGCATTCCAGCTTTGCTCCGCCCGCCATGCGGCCTTCGACAGGTGTCCGTGGTCTCTGCTTTATCCACATAAGGGGACCACGCAGGTCACCGGGGAGCTGTGGGACACGCATTCCACTTCACACCCGAGAGGAAAGCGTAGAGAAATCACTGTGCCACGTGCAGGCTCGCCATTTCTATTTCTGACACACAACTCAATTATGCCAGGAAAGTGGGTCCCTTCCCCACTGAATACCAGAACTGGTTCAAGCCAGTAATGACACTGACCTCGTCCTTTTTTAAAATAAAATTGGGGTGACATTTGATGACACCATTCTGGAGTAGCCTGACTGTGTTTATGAAAGTATCTAACATGTACTGACGAGTTCTGTCTTGGTAAGCAGCATGTTGAGAATGCAGACTCCAGGAAAAAAACCAACGGTCTCAAAAAAATGCATCTTTTTCAGATTAGCCACGAGCAAAGCAAATCTGAAGGACATAGACCTCCTACTGCTGAGTTTCATTAAGGAAATTCCCTCAAGCCGCCCGGTGCTGGGCCAACTACGACCCACAACACAGTCACAAGGAAAGGAATGCACGGACCCCAACTGAAATCTCACTTTGCAACCGTCTCCCCTCTCCCTGCTCCCGGCCTGGTCTCAGGCAGGAGCTCTGGGCTGCCTGGAGCCGAGGGGTATTTTGGTGAAGCCAAACAAAATATGCTTCTCTCTTTACACAATTCTTTTTTTTAAGCTTCTATTATTTTAAGAAAAGAAAAGGCCATCCGTATTTGTGAAGAAATACCGACCTCAAGCACAACAAATCTTACTGACAGAAGTTTGAAATGGTTTCCAGTTAACAAACATTCTGCCAAACCAGAAATCCATATTAAAAGACTGTGTCAACAAACAAAAAAGAAAAACAAACAAAACAAAAAACACCCCAAAGCACTTGTAACTATGCTACAGAAAGGGCAGCAGACCTTCTATCCCCCTTTCTCACAAGAGCCATGGAAACAATGAGAGAACAACAACTTATAAGTCAGAAGTCCTGTGAAATGAGTCTGTCCTAACTTCTGGCTTCTCAACTCTATAAAGTCTTAGAAATGTTAAAAAAATC